AACAAAAGTTAATTACTAATGTGTAATCTTCACTTTTTTTTAGCAATTGTTATGATTTTTTAAACATTAAACATATATTAATTCGTATATATTTTTCATTCACTTTTTTTTATTTATAATTTTTACGATCTTTTTAACATTAGAACATATATTAATTCATATATGTAACGGCCCCGGAAAATATTAAAAAGAAATGAGTATTTAATCATATCGAATGCGGAAGCGAGATCAAAATTTCAGTTAACATCCCTTACACGAAAAACCAAAAACATACTTAAAATATAAAAGGTTAAACTAACTAAGAAAGAAAACTCGAAAATAAACTATGCGTATGACTACAGAGTCTCTAGGCATCCCCTTCGTCGTCCTCCTGCAGAACGGGCTCGGGAACCATGTCTTCCTGATCTGAAATGGTTAATTAAGGAGTGAACTACACTAGCCCAGTAAGAACATCACGATATCTCACCGTCACGGAGATAAAGGTGGGTAGAAAAACACAAAAAGACCAATGGAGCATAATTTACAACAAACTCGTTTATTAACATGAAAACCTTTACCATCCACTTACCTTGGTGGAATTTAGGAAAACAATATGAGAAAAACAATAACATCATCATAATCATTGAATAATCTAAGCTGTAAAACATAACACTTATCACGCCTCTTGTAATTCAATCATTGTACAACATATCTTTTTCTCATTTACCAGCCTACTAGTATCCATGGGGGTCCCTAGGGGTCCCGCTACCCGTTAACCTTTAACATTCATAATCAGTTTCCAGGGCCGTCCCCATACCCCGTCCGGTATGGGCGCCAAAACCATAAACCTCAATACCCCGTCCGGTATGAGGGTGAAACGGGCCGTCCCCATACCCCGTCCGGTATGGGCGCCAAAACCATAAGATCTCCATACCCCGTCCAGCATGTGATACCACAATCCCGGTAGGGTTCCCTACGGACCCGGTCCGTCCACCATCTCCCAGGATATCTAGTCAGGCTGACCCCATCATACAATTATCAGTCTACACAATGTTTCATTTTCCTTTTCCTCAATAAGCATCATCAATTCACATTTAAACAAGCAAATCGTAATTCATGCCGAACAGACAACATACAGTATCAGTTCTTCAGTCATTCAACCCATAATTAATAAAACAGTAATATATGCACTCGAAACTATAAAATGAACACATCAAACCCCATAATGCATTTAAAGCTGTAAAACAGGCCAAATAACAGTAAATCATCAATCACACTAGACTCGGGCTCCATTAGGAACCTTAAGCAATTTCACACATGCGTTAATTCAAGAAATACCGTTTTATCATTTTGAACTTTAATACCGTGATAGGAAATAGGGTGAGGGGTCCTTACTCGTTTTTGGGGTCCGAACACGGCTTTGCAGTGCGCTTGCAGGCTATCCCTAATTTTCCCCTGAATTTTCCTCGGGGAACTGAAACGCACTACTGGTACCTGCACGTGTTCCAAAAAAATCCCAAATTAGGCCCAGGGCCCCTTTCGGCCCAAATCGCAACTCCGGCACGGCGGCTTCGCCGTGCTCCGGCGACGGCGCCGCCGCCAGGCCTCGGGTTGGCTGTTTTCGGCCGTTTTTGGCCGAATTCGGCCACACTCGCATCGGTCCCTGTGAGAAAACAACCCTAGGGCCCTCGGGGGGCCAAAAAATCAAAGAAAAACGGAGCTTACCGGCGGCGGCGCTCTCGGGTGCGACGGCTCTCCGGCGAGGTTCGTGTTTTGGTGATTCGGATCCGGTCAACCTGTAGAGAAAAGAATGGTGATCACGGTGATATAAAAATTGCATCAAACGGAGGCCGGGAAGGGCCTCGTCGGAGGCAAAAACCGAGAGGGGGCGCGGCGGCGCCGCTGGTCTTCGGCCGCGTATTCCGGCCGTTTGGCCAGGATTTTGGCTTCGATTTGGCCATAGGAGGAATCAGCGTGGAAAACGAGTCGGGGGTATGAAATTTACCTCGATCGGCGGTCGGAAATTTCCCCGGTGCGGCGGCGGGTGGCGGCGGTCGGCCTCTGGTTCGTCTTCTCCGACGAGCGGCAGGCGGCTAGGGTTTGTGGTCTGGTGTGGGGGTTCTATTTATAACCCCTTGCCCTTTGATCTCAGCCGTCCATTTTGTTTTAATCTGGGCCGTCCGTTTTTGATTAAATCTGGGCCGTCTGTGCGATTGTATCTGGGCCGTCCGATCGCACGATTGATCTGGACCGTCCGATCGCGCCCACGCGGATCGCCAACGTGGCCCGTTCAGGAGCGACGTGGTCTTGCCACGTGGCAGGCCCCGGTTGGCCGGGACTGCTGACCGGGCCTGCTGACGTGGCTGCCGACGTAGTTTTTTTTTTCTTCTTTTTTTTTTCCCTCGGTCCGGGCGCTACAAACGTGCTACGGGTTGGTGGCGGTGGTTAGAGTATAATAGTTCATTTAATAAAATCAATTATTTAATTTATTAATAAGTTAGAAGGTATGTTATAACCAAATTAAGTAAAGTTAGACATAACTTTTTGGTATCAAAAATAAAAATAAAAATAATTACAATAACGTGCATTAGTGGAATTATAATAACTTAATTAAGCTAAAGATTAATTATACCTAATATTTTTCTCATAAAACAAAAGAAGAACATTATAATAGATTAGGATAAAAATAAAGTCGCTATGAAAATAAGGCAAAGAGAGTATTGTGCAAGACACTATTAATTCAATTAAGCGAAATGGTTGGTAATTATTCCCATTAATTATTATTAACGTAATTAATTTTTTATAAAGTAGAGATTATAATTTGTTTTTACAATATAATATATATTATATGCAATTTGCATAGAAATAATAGTTGACACCGATTATCTAGCATGGATAAAAGCAGAGATGAAATTCTGAAAGCAGGTTTTTTGATTATATATCATGACAAATAATTTTCCTTTGGGGGCAAGTTATCACTTAAATTATTTTCTTATAATTTAATTTAATATTCAACATACAAAGTTACTTCATAAATAAAACATTGATATTGTACTTTGTGTACTACTTTATTTACATAAAAACTTATTTTAAAAAAATGTTATTTTTATCTAAAATTAAGAATTTAAAAATATTAAAAAAATAATTATTTTAGATTCAATATATTTTTTTATACTTATAATTATATGTATTTATTAAACAAGATAAATTAATCGTTCTATTAAATTTATTAAAATTAATTTTTGAATTTTATTAAAATAAAATATGATATTTTTTATTAAAAGTTTTAAAATACTGAGATATTTTTATAATATTTTAAAAAATTAAACAACTAAACTATAACGGTAATTAAATTTAACAGCTTATCAGTAATAAAGAGAGTTAAGCCAAATATAGGAGGAAAAAGGCAGGCCTTGTGGTCCATCAACGAGAAGCAGATGATCCAGACATGTCCTCTCATCAACAACGCCCACACAAGTAGCGCAGGGCTACAGCCAACCACTTGCCCATTACTCTACCTCCCACGGGAAAAACCACAGCCACGACAACGTGAAACTCCACACCACACACCCACCTTTCATTCTCTCATCATCTATTTAAACCTTCAAACCCCCACGTCTCCTCACCATCGCCAAATTTCCATCTCCTCCTCTTTTTCCTCAATCTCTAACCGGAGCCATCTCGTCAGACCAAAAAGGGGGAATCTTTCAGAGATTCTGGATCGGATTTTCTTTTTCTGGGTTGTCGCTCTTTTCTGGGTTACTCTTTTTTATTCAGGGGAAGACGAGTTGTAGACATCACGGCTATACACGGAGTAACTCGGTATATTATTCATGTCCGCGCTGTACGACGTAAGGGTTGTGTGATAGAAACCATCCCTTCGCCGCACGGCGGGCGTGGCGCTTTGCCTTCTGAAGGCGGTAGTCCTTCCGATCTCCTTTTCCTTGCTGGCGGTGGTCAAGCTTCTCTCTGCTTTTCTCCTGTATATTAGTCTTAGTTTTAGGGCGTATATATATTTTTGTCTTTTACTCAAGGCCTTTGTTGTTTCCTATTAAGCACCCAGAAGACTCGTTTTTCTTTTGTGGGGTTGTTTGTAAAATCGAGAGACAGACAGCAAGATGTTGAGCATCAAGAGGGTTCCCACCGTCGTATCAAATTATCAGAAGGATGAGACGGAAGAATGCTCTCGCCGTGTCGGCGGTTGTGGTCGGAATTGCCTTAATAAGTGTTGCATACAAGGTATTTGTTAAAATGCCTAACTGAGTTTTTGAATCTATATGATTTATTTGTTTTCCTTTAATTCTTCAGATTTTTGTCTTTTTTGTTTTTCTTTCCTGTTTTAATTTCATCTTGGTGGGTTTGAATAGGGGCAAAACTTCCGTTATATGCTTACAAGAAGCTGGACAAGACTGATAGCCGCAACGCCGTGCATGGGCATGAGATTAGGGAGTGTCCTGTTGCTTTCCTTGATTCCCTTCTTCTTGGGGAGGTAAGAAAAATCTATATTAATCTAATTTTGTGATTATTTCTAGTTGTTAGCAAGTTTAGCTGTAATGAAAAGCTGAAATGTTTTACCGTCTTATGATTAGTGGGAGGATCGTTCGCAGAGGGGACTCTTTCGATACGACGTTACTGCCTGTGAAACCAAGGTTGCTTTTAGTTTCTTATCTGTCTTTTTCTTGGAATATTTGTATTTAAGTTCTAACTTGTGAACACCATAGAGTTTGATCAATTGGGAATTTTGGATATTGGATTATTGGTGCCAGCTTTAATTTCTTGTGGTAATATTGATTTAGGTGATCCCGGGTGAATATGGCTTCATTGCTCAGCTCAACGAGGGCCGCCATCTCAAGAAGAGGCCTACTGAATTCCGTGTTGATAAGGTGCTTCAGCCTTTTGATGGGAATAAATTCAACTTCACCAAAGTGGGACAAGAAGAGGTGCTCTTTCAGTTTGAAGCCAGTGAAGATGGTGAAACTCAGTTCTTTCCCAGTGCACCAATTGATGTTGAGAATTCACCTAGTGTTGTTGCCATCAACGTAGGTCCCTTGAGTTTCAGGGTTATTTTTTAGCGAGAGTGCTAGTCGAGCCATAATATAGCAAAAATAAATGCTTTGCATGTCAAATTTGCAGGTCAGTCCAATTGAGTATGGACATGTTTTGTTGATTCCCCGGGTTCTTGAGTGCTTGCCACAGAGGATTGACCGGGAGAGCTTCTTGCTTGCACTTCACATGGCAGCTGAGGCAGGAAATCCATACTTCCGTTTGGGTTACAATAGTTTGGGTGCATTTGCTACTATCAACCATCTTCACTTCCAGGTTTCTG